GTGTGTGTGTGTGTGTGTGTGTGTGTGTGTGTGTGTGTGTGTGTTCCCTTCTTCTGGCCAGAATATCAGAACCAACCTTGAGCTCCTGGGGCCAGTTCATAGGACAACCATGTTGCTCCTCCCAGTGGTGCATATGTTTTGTGTTACCTGATGTGAGACTAGAATAAAGGAGACAGCACATTTTCTGATATTAAAGGCTATCAGATGTTTGGGGTTCTGTAAATCTAAAGAAAAAAGACTTAGCAGTTAGCTTAATTACTGAGGTGCAGCTTTTCTTTAGAGTTTCTAGTGCTGGCCTAGGGGATGTGAAGCCAGAATAACTTGGCAGGACAACTCCTCAGGGAGCAGCACTCTGCTGACTTCTGAGTTTTTTTCTTTCTGTCATTAGCAGTCACTTTTTATTTTGGGCTCAAATGATACCTTGTTCAGTGCATGGTACTTCTGAATATTTAAGGCTTTGAAATGAGCTATTAGCCCTTGGTACTTTGTAATCTAGAGATCAAATAAAATTAGTGTTAATAATGTGTCTGTATAACGTACATAGTATACAACGATACAACGTTTTTACTACTCTACACAAAAGAAGACTTTTTCGAGAAGTGACATTTTAATAGCGTTTAAAGGACCAGAACACCATTATTTATAGAAAGGTAGAAGAAGATCTCCCTAGAATTTATGTAGAGACTTAAAGGAGGTGAGGGAGTATCGTCAGTGGCTGCATAACAAACCATCTCTGGCAGTTTTTCTATAAAGGATCAAATAGTAAATATTTGAGATATTCGAGGCTCCTAGCCTCAGTCACTAGTGTTCAGCTCCACTGTTAGGTGCAACAGCAGCCACAGACACAAGAGGAATCTATGACTGTTCCAGAACCGGTGGTGCATTGCATTTGAGCTAAAGGCTACTGTTTGCTGATTCTTGATTTAAAACAGCAAAATAACTATTGTACTTTGCTTATAGATGTGTGATTTGCTGAGTTGGCAGGGTGGCCCCTACTCTACCTGGTGTCAGAGCACTCTAAGGGCTGGGGGCAGAGATCTAAGAGGCTCCCTCTCTCCTGCCCATCTCCTGGGCTAGGAGGGCAGCCTGGGATCTTCTGTCTCTGTTCAGTCTCTGTCTGGTCCTGTCAGCATGGCTGCTCTCAGGTTAACCAGACTCCCATGTGTCCCTTCAGGGTTTCCAGCTGAGTGACCAGCAAGAAAAGTGGAAGCTGGATCCCTCCTGTGGCCTTGCCCGAGAGCCTTAGAGTTCCGTGTGCAAACATGTTCCCATCTGGCTGTTTTTTACAGCACTGGGAGTTGAACCCAGGACCTTCACACTGAACTGCATCCTAGGCCTGCCCTTATTTTGAGACAAGGTGATGCTAAATTGCCCACACTGGGCTTAAACTTGCCATCCTCCTGCCTTAGTCTCCTAGAGTGTGGGCCCTCAGCTCCAGCTGTCTAATTTTGTAAGTAAGATACTGTTAGAAAAGCCACACCTGCTCCTGTATGTGTTCTCGATGGCTGCTTTTTTGTTATTAGTACATGTCTGCAGTACATAATGATTACACTCCTTGTGTGGAGTTGATGCAGGCAGGCACATAACACTTCTCAATACCTTCTCACATCCCCTTCTCCTTCCCTTATCTCCCCCCTCTCTTTCTCTCTCTCTCTCTGTTTTTTTTTTTTTTTTTTTTTTGTGGTACTGGGGACCAAACTGGACCTTGCGCTTGTGAGGCAGGCACTGGAACCACTGAGCTAAATCGCCAGCCCCCTCTTCCTCTCTTGGTCCCCTTCCTATTTAAGAAACATCTGTCTCCCTAATTCCTATTATCTAGTTTTTTATTTTGCTCTTTATACTTTGGGTTTCTCATAAGAAATCATGTGATATTTAAGCTTGTGTGTCTGATTTATTTCATTTAACATTATGGTCTCAAGGTACATCCATTTTTCTACAAATGACTCAAGCTTATTCTTCTTTATGGCACAGTAGTACTCCACTTTTATGCTACAGTGTTGGAGTTGAGTAGTTGTGACAGACTACAGCCTGCAGAGCCTAAACTTTTTAAATTTATGTGGGTATTGGGAAAGAGTACTGGGGATCAAACCCAGAGCCTTCACACTGAGCTGCATTCCCTGACAACCCTCCTGCCTCAGCCTTCCAGAGTGCTGGGATTAAAGGTGAGTACCACTATGCCCAGCTTTCTCTGGCTCTTTGAAGAAGTTTGCCACTGCTTGGTATAGGCACTCTCAGCAGTCTGCCTGTCTCTGGGAAAAGGCTGGGCTCTCCCTAGTATGGAGACCAGGCAGGGTCTGGAGGAGCACGTGAAACTACAGGATTGTTTGAGCCGCTTTTTTTTTTTTTTTGGTACCAGGGATTGAACTTGGGTCCTTGCAGCAGGTGGGAGAACCACTGAGGTAAATACCGGCCAGTTTGAGCTGCTTTTGCAGGCTGCAGGCTGTCAAGGGAGCGAGTCATATAGACACCTGGGGAGGCAGGCGCATGCTAGCCCCTTCCCAGGTGAGCTGAGCAGTGTGGGGGTGAAAGCAGAGGTTGCAGGGACCTCAGTGTGGCCCTCAGCAGGACTTCAGAGTAGGTTGTAGGGGAGGAGGTTGGCCAAGGGCAGATGCTAGGAGACCTGTGAGAGTGGAACGTGTTGGGGAGGAGGCGCCTGGAGTGCTCAGTTCGCGCCTCTGACTTCCGCCTGGCCTTGAGGTAGTGCTGGAAGATGACAGCTAAGCGGCACATCATCTGCTGACCCTCCTTCTGAGATCCTCGAAGGCTGCCACTGTCCTCAGACTTGTGATGAGGCTCAGGCCGGCAGGTCCTGGCCCTCATTATTTCCGGTTCATTCTCACCTCCCCACCTTGCCTTTTGGGCCTCGCTCACACTGACCATGCTGATTTCAGTTCTGCAAAGCCCCATAGTCTGCTACCCTGAACAAGGGATTGAGCTCAGGGCCTTTACACTGAGCTACACACCCAGCTTTTTTAATTTTTGAGACTGGGTCTCACCAAGTTGCCCACAGTGGGCTTGAATTTGTGAGCCTCCTGCCGCATCTTCCCAAGTGCATGGATTGCAGATGTGTCCCACCATCCCCAGCTCTGCCTTTGCACTTGCTGACATCCTCCTACAGTCTTGATCTTGCTGGTGCCTACACCAGTGCTCAGGGTTCATTGTGAACTTCAGCTTTCCTGAAAGCTCCCTCTTTCCTAATCTATGTTCTCCTGCTTTTTTTTTGTAATAGCAGCCTACATTTGTCCTCCCGAAGACTGGGAGCTCCAGGGGGACAGGGACCATGTTTTTGTCACTATTTTATTGCCATCACAGGGCCAAGCTCCTAAAGGCACTTCATAAAAGTTGATAGTTTGCTTGAAGAATATGTAACTCGTAAGGTGAATTGAGTTTTCTTGGTAATGTGGGGCTTTTGGAGAATGTCTAAATTTTCCACCAGATTATTAAATCTGGAAAAAATAGAAAAATGCCATGATGTATGGTAAAATTATGCAAAAAACACATACAGTGTAGAAGTAGACAAATAAAAATGAATAATGATGACTGTGCATGAATATGATTGAATTACAAGTTCTGTTGTCCCTAGTTTTAAATTCTTCATAATTTTAAAAGTATTTTAAAGAGAAAAAAAGTATTTTAAAGAATTCAAATTTCTTACGCAATTTAAGCATCCTAAATATAGTTCCTTGGGTAATTTTGTCCCCAAGCTTGACTCTCCCAGGTAGTTTGTAAGGCCTACTCAGATCTCTACCACAAATAATCTGAATATCCTGTTCCTACCTTTTGCTATAGAAAATAAAAGGTTTTAATTTTCAAAATTTATTTTTCTGGGCCGGGGATTTAGTGCAGTGTTACCGCACCTGCCTCGCAAGTACAAGGTTCTGAGTTCAATCTGTGGTACCAAAAAAAAATATTTATTTTTCTAAGATAAAGTATCATTCTTCAAAACAGTGAAAATCATACTGTTGTTTTTCTTTTTGTTTAAATTTTTTCCATTTATCATTTTATCAAATGAGCTTTCACCTATTTCCTTTTCTTCTGAAACATGATTGTCATTACCAAAACAGTAGTACTGAAAATTGAATATTTGCAGAGCATCTTTGCATACGCAGTCTGTCTTTGAGTCGCTGGGATAGCAGCTGTAGTAGAAAGAGGAACTGAAGAGCCAAAGAGGTACAGGTCTTGTTCAAGGTCACAGGCTTGGTCAGAGGCTTCCTGAAACCAAATCAAAGATATTCTCATTCTTAATAAACCATACATGTAATACTCATTCAGGGAGTGCTTTTCCCTTGTATATATATATGACATACAAGTGAGACACACAGGCCTAAAAGTTCTGCCAGAGTAGCAGGGGGTGGGGGTGGGGGTGGGGGTGGGTCTCAAGTTAAACCTGGATAAAACTTGTCTTTTTGAGTCTTGTCATGTTGAAAGACAAATTTTGTTCTGGTTTGAAGTTCCTTTCGTACTGCACTCTGATGTTTCTCTTCCTCCACAGCTATGCATGCCCAAAGGGCTGTCTTTCAGGACACAAAGCGACAATAAAGACCCTCAGTTCCACTCGTTTATAATTACTCGGGAAGATGGCTCTCGAACCTATGGCTTTGTCCTCACTTTCTTTGAAGAAGTTACAAGCAAGCAGATCTGCACAGCAATGCAGACACTGTACCAGATGCACAACGCAGAGCACTGCAGCAGTGTGTGTGCCTCCTCCTCCTGCAGCATGGACTCACTGGCGAGCAGTGCTGACGAGGCTGACTCAACCTCCCTTCTGAAACTTCAGCGGTACAACTCTTACGATATCAACAGAGACACTCTGTATGTTTCGAAAAGTATCTGCCTTATCACCCCACTCCCTTTCATGCAGGCCTGCAAGAAGTTTCTCATCCAGCTTCACAAAGCTGTCACCTCGCAGCAGCCGCCTCCCTTGCCACTGGAAAGCTACATCCATAATATTCTTTATGAAGTACCACTTCCGCCTCCAGGGCGGTCACTGAAGTTTTATGGCGTTTATGAACCTGTCATCTGCCAGAGGCCTGGGCCCAATGAACTCCCCCTCTCCGACTACCCTCTTCGAGAGGCCTTTGAGCTCCTGGGACTGGAGAACCTGGTGCAGGTGTTCACCTGTGTTCTGTTAGAAATGCAGATCCTTCTGTACTCACAAGGTGGGTGTTCTTTGCACTTCATTTTCTAAAAACAAGTACCTGTGCCCTCAACTACTGTATTTCCTTGAGTTAATATTATTAGAACCAAATAATGAATGTTCAGGAATCTTCTGTTTCCTATCAAAGGAGCAGGTATGAGTGAGACTAACAGCTGCAGTGTAGCTTTTCTTTGTGGCCACAGCGGCTGTAGAGAGAAACAGGAAAGAATATAAAAAATATTACCATGACAGATTAGGGTGTATTTGTTTTTTAATTAAAAATGACCTTTTTTCCTGATAATTCATAGTCATCATTAAATAAACATTCTTTTCATAATGAGAGCAGGAAGAAACCTCTTCTACAGAGAATGTGTAGTCTTCCCACTCTTTACAAATCAGTAAAGGTGCACATGAAATCTCAACTACATTGAAAGGAGGAAGTGATAGCACTGACTGTGGCCTATTGAGCATCACATTCACATGCTGGAGGAAGAGGTATACAGGGGAGACAGGAGTGACTTTCCCAGTCCACAGTGAGCTCAAGTTGGGTGTGTGGCCTTGGGCTTTTTAAGACACAGAAGAAAGAAGTTATCTTTATGATACTATTTATTCAAAATTCTCCCAACACACTAAAAAATATCAAACTGGGCTGGGACTATGGCTCAGTGGTAGAACACTTGCCTAGCACATGAAAGGCCCTGGGTTCAATTACCCCTGCCTAAAAAAAAAGAAAAAGAAAAAAACTAACAAATGTGGGGTTTTTTTAACTGCTACATTTGCAGTAACTACTGTTGATCCTAGACTAGGATATCGGTTCCCATCTGAGTATGAATTTACAGAAGAAATAGAGATGTGTGCCTTCATGGATAGTGAGAAAATTATAAAATGGAACCTATGGATGGATTCTTTGGAAAATGTGACGTTTGGGTTAGGATTTTGCTAATTTAAATTTGCATTTAGGCTGGCAGAATGAATTGTAGTGCACTCTCCCAACTGCTGCTGTCAAGCTTATTTTACCCCTGCCCTTGTTTTTATTTTTCTATTTTAAATTATAAGCAAGGCTGAGCCAAGTAGACTATATTTGTACTCCCCATCTTGTGTGTATGTTGACACTATTTGTGTGTTGACAGCCCGTCATGAAGTTGTGTTTTCTTTCAATTTATGCTGCAGGATGTTCGATGGTGTATTCCAGTGTCTTGGTTTTGTCAGGAAATTCCTCTCTCATGGCCAGTCTAAATTCTCTCTCTTCCTCCTGTTGTCTTTCTGAGTGCTCAGTATCACCTGTATACTGTTTGCAGTTGAAAATTTTAAATAACTTTCTCTTTCCTTTTCCTTGAAGAAGGTAAGGTTGGGGAGCTGCATCATGTCAGTGCTCGCATGGGTTCACATTTTGGAGCCTTTCATTTTGGGTTAAGGATGTTTTGCTTATATTGGTTTTGGAAGTCATAACAGCCCTGGGTTCAAATCTCTATTGCATCCCTTACTAATGTAACCACGGGCAGTTTGCTTAATCTTCCTGTTAGTTCCCCCCTCTGTGGGGTGACAGTTTTTACCTCCAGCTGATTGATTGTGAAGGTTAAGAAAGAAGCCTGTACAGAGTACTCAGGGTGTAACTGACATTGCCCAAATGATGGCTGATGTGATTATAATTGTTATTAGTGTTATTAGTCCCATATAATTCTCTGTAAATTGTACTTATGTTAAATTATGAAGATCTAGTGTATTACTGTATCTAAATTGTAACTTTGCTCAGCAGTCAAGGTGTTGGGCTGAGGATGGGACTCAGTGGAGTGCTTGCCTAACAGGCGAAGCCCTGGGTTCAGTCTCGAGGTTCAGTCCCCAGTGCTACCCAACAAAACACAAACAGAAACTTAATAAATGTTCTTTCATACTCTGTGCCATGCTCTTTTTTGAAAAAAAAAAACGCAAAACTTTCCATTATCACACTTCCTGGGGTTTTTTTGGTACCAGGGATCGAACTCAGGCCCTTGTGCTTGCGAGGCAGGCGGCGGCACCACTGAGCTAAATCCACGGCCCCCACACTTCCTTTTCTAAATAGCATTTTATGTCTCATTGTTTGTCTGTCCTGAACCTTTATCCTTCTGATCTATATGACTAGCTTGTCCTGTTGATTTAAGGAGTCTGTTAAGAAGTTTGAGTTGACTCATATTTACCAATTTATGTAGTTTCAAATGAAGAAAAATATTTATGGACATGTTTTTGTACCCTGAACATTTTTTTCAGTAACTTGGTCTTAGGCTGATGACAACAGAGTAAATCCTGAGATTACAGGACTAGTTCATGAACTTCATTCTCTCCACAATTCTGGATAAAAGTGAATAAAAACAGAATCAAATTTAGTGGTTAGGTTCAATGTTGACCTTATGGGAAAATCAGATTTAGTTCTCATCCAGTTGGTTTGTGACCAGAACTGTGGAGAGAATGAAGCTCATGAACTGAGGCACAGCTGTTTTTTGTTTGTTTGTTTTGAGACAGGGTCTCACTATGTAGTTCAGCCTGGCCTTGAACTCACTGTGTATCCCAGGCTGGCCTCAAAGTCATGGGGATCCTCCTGCCTCAGCCTCCTCCATGCTGAGTGTATTTATTTTTAGATACAAGATCTCATGGTGTTGCTCATACGAGCCTCGAACTCAGGATCCTTCAACTCATGATCTTGCCTGAGCCTCCTGAGTAACTGGAATTATAGGTCTGTATCATCACACCCAGGTCTTAGTACTAGACTTTTTTTTCTTTCTGTGTCGTATAGAAAGAAAGGTGTTATACACCAAGTTTATAGCCATTCGCAGAAGTCACTTTGTCAGGAATTGTGCTACAAAAGCACACATATATTTTGGAATTCTCTCCAGTTAATTCCTGTAATCAGCATGATGTGGTGCTGTCAGCGGTGTGTCATCAAGGGAAATTCAGGGTCAGGAAAGCGAAGGGACTGTCCAGGTCGGAGCAGCAGACAATAGGTGGCACCAGGACCCGGCTCAGTCTGTCCCCGAGCATGTCACCACTGCGCCAGCTGTGCAGCTATGGCTTTCCACCTTTCCCACCCTCTCGGTGTCTACTGTGCAATTATCGACTCCTTCATCAGTCCTGTTAGAACGTGGTCCGCCAGGTCCTTGTGGAGTGTGACGTGAAAGCCTGTGTAAATGCAGTTTTTTAACAGACACGGCCTTTCCCATTAGAGAAAGACATTTTGCTTAAACAAATGAAATCCAAGAGTTACTGTGTTGAGTTGTACCCTGGTGCCCCCTTCACCCTTCCTGACTCTGAAAGGGGTTTTCAGGACATACACATTTCCTACTCACTGATAAATGTTTCCATAAAATTTTTAAATGTTTCAAGTGCTAAACAATTGCTGTGAAAATCCAAAGAAAGTCAAAGTAGGTGGATTTCAGTGATAGAATTGTCTGTCTAGACTGATTTGAAATTCTGGTTGGTAGCCTGTGTAAACAGGTTCGCTCTGTGTGGTTTTACCACTCACCATCGAATCATATCCATAAAACAAACAGCTGTTTTTGGTAGTTGAGAGGTATTCACGGGGCACAGGCAAAGTGACAGTAGGACCTGGGAGCTTCTCACACAGCTCTGGTTAGCCTGGGCAAAGGGTCTCCTTGCTTTTGTCCTCTTCATGGTCCCTGGTACTGTGATCCAGTCCAAACTGTTTCTGTTTTGTTGGGGACCTCTGGACACCGAGCACCCTCCCTCATTAGAGAGAGAACTTTTCTGACATCACTCAGGTTGCCATGGGTATTTTGGGCTGCAGGATTATTTATGCCCTTTAGTCAGAAGGATGGTTCCAGTTAATGTCTGATTAAAACCTGGCACTTCTCCCTCAGATGGAAATTGTCTCTTTCAGGCCCTCTAGGCTTCTGACCTGGCCCAGACAGGATTTGTCTGTGCAGCATTCCAGCCTCTGTGGTGCACAGGGTGAGCACAGGACTTTGGCTTATTCTCTGTCAGAGTGTCCAGTGATACTGCTTCATGCTTTCTGTTTCACAGTGTTAGTTAGGGGACATAAGATCCATTCCCATAAGACACTCAGGTAAAACCATTTTAAACATTTTAATCTCATTCAAACTCCACATTAATCCTATCAACCCTAAATTAATGTGATGTCTTAGCCTGTGTTAAGACATTAGTGGATCTTGGTACACCAGTGCACAGTCCCAGAACCCTCTCTTCTCTCCCTGACCATTTCATGCACTCCTGTGCGGTAGGGTTTATTTAGGCCCTGGCAGGGAGCTGAGCCAAGGGATCTCTGCTCTTTTGTTGATCTTTATCTTTATTAGTCTGTTGCTGAAATGGATTTCCCATCCATTTGTCCATCTGTCCTTCCTTCCTTCCCCTCCCCCTCTTCTTTGAAGTACTGGGGGTTAATCCTAGAGCCTTCACACTGAACTACAAACGCTATCCTTTATGTTTTTTGTTTTGAAATAGAGACTTGCTAGGTTGTCCAGGTGGGACTCAAACTTGTGATTCTCTTGCCTTAGGCTCCTGTAGTGCTGGGATTACAGGTGTGCCCCCACCACATACCTGGCTTTGTTTGAGCCCTTTAATGTTAGGAAACTGTTGAGGGTCCTCTGGTTCACTCAGCCTAGGATAGTGCCCAGACCTTTGTTTCAACTTGTTGTGGTGGTGCACACTTATAATCCCACCACTTTCAGAGGCTGAGGCAGGAGAATCACAAGTTTGAGCCTAGCCTGGGCAATTTCGTGACTTAACAAGACTCTCTAAAATTTTTTAAAAAGAACAAAAACAAGAGAACAGCTAGGGATATAGCTCAATGTAAAGGCACTGAGTTCAAGTCCCAGCACCACACACACACACACGCAGAACCTTTGTTTCAATCCCATCGATGGACATTTTACCTGCCCCTTTTTGTTATAACCATTTAAAACTTTCTACCCTGCTGAACAAGTCTCTTGGCTCACCTCTGTACATCTTCATATTCTTTTTTGTTTTTCATATTTTATTAATTAATATTTTTATTAACATCTGTAAAGTGAGAGG